CATCAAGGACAACAACCCGTACCTCCATCTATCATCTCTGCAAAACGTCAGGACACCCTCGCACACACTGTCCAAATCGACAGCAGTCAACACCACCGCAACGACAACTTCGGCCTTCAAGCAGTCAAGTCGCCTCGACACAAGCGCATCTCACTGCTCAAGTGCAAACTTCAACGATGTCAACGACGCAACCTGCACAAGGAACAAGAAACATCGTGAGTTGCTTGGCAAAATTCACAGACTCTTGCATCACCGAGTCACCGCCGCACTACTCACCGGAAGAACAACTCGATGAAAGCACTCCTTGCCGCGAGTCACTGGAGTCGAACCCGACGTACGCAGCCATCGCCCAGAGCGAACCGTCCGGAAAAGACACCTGGTTCTTGGACAGCTGCTGCAGACAGCATGTGTGCTCATCGGGTCGCTTCGTTCAACGGAAACACCAGCTCCAACGCGAAGTCGTCATCACCGTCGCCAACAATCAGTACCTGCACACACGACGACAAGGGATAGTTCAACTTCAGTCACGAGAGACAAACGTCATTTTACAAATGTCAAAAGTTTTAATCGCGGAGGGACTCGACTACAACTTACTCAGCGTCAGTCAGCTGATGGCGAAAGGAATTTATCTTGAAGCAGATAGCACCACTCAGGAGTTCAAACTGTACCACGGGAGGGGCGGACTCTACATCAGCAAGGCAGTGTTGAAGAACAATGTCTTCGTCCTCGACTTCGTTCCGGATCAAGGCACCACCGATAGCGACGGAATCGTCACCTTCACTTCCTGGACACATCCGCCGGATCTCGACCCCGACTTCAGCCTCGGCGGCTTCTGGTATTCGAACACCATACCTGAGGCAGAACGAACGAGAGCATTAGCGACAATACAACAACCGGCAGCAGCAGAGACAACATCGGCAGCAGCAGAAACAACATCATCAGCAGCAGAGACAACATCGGCAGCAGCAGAGACAACACCGGCACCAATCGCTAGAGCACCGGCCTTCATCGACGACACACCACCGACTCCTTCACAGCAGCTGAATCCCACTCCACGGGAAGTCCACAGAAGCGCACACTTCACCGCAGGCTTCTACTCGAACTCCGACCTGTACAGACGCTCACCCGGATATCGCGCTAGCGAAAGCATCTGGCATGCAAGAATGGGACATCCGAGCAACACAACGTTAAACAACACGATAAGAGCAGGCGTTCTTGATAAAGACTCACTGCTTCTACACGACGGCAGAGAACTGCAACAAGAACTGCAAAGCCGACTTACCACACCAGCCGTTCGTCTCTCACCACAACCCAAGCGCACCGACATATGCGCCACTGGAGAAGGTCTACAGCGACACACTATTCAACCGTGAACCCGGACAAGGAGCATATAATTATGTCGTCACGTTCATCGACGCCGCCACACGATACGCCTGGCACTTCAACCTCCCGAGCCGCGACATGGCCTTCGAAGCCTTCGTCGCCTGGCTTCCAGCAGCAGAACGAGAGTCAGAGGTGAAACTGAAAAGCTTCCAGTTAGACGGGGGAGGGGAATATCAGTCACAGAGGTTCAAGGACTATCTGGCAGAGAGAGGAATCAAACGGTTCATCTTCCTTCCCTACGCCCATCAACAGCAAGGCGTAGCAGAAAGGATGAACAGGACCCTCCAGAACACCATGCGCAAATTGCTACGTGGCATGCGACTACCCAACCACCAGTGGCCCGAAGCAATGGACCATGCTGTGATGCTGCACAAATTGCTCTCGTCATCATCGCTCCCGAACAACGCATCACCGCATCTGCAGTGGACAGGAAAACTGCGCAGCACAAAAATGTTACGAGTGTTCGGCTGCATGGTACAGTACCGGCCCCCAGCCGCACGAGCAGGTCGATTCTCCCAACGCGCACAGTGGAGACTACACCTGGGCATCGAGAAACATTACAACGCGTGGAAAATTTTCAACATCAACACAAAGGAAGCAGTGGCAGCACGTGATGTTTTCCTCTACGAGCGACTCACGCTTCCGACGTACCTTGCCATCCTGGAAGAAGGAAATCCGAACCTCTCGGACGGGTTTTATGGTGACCGAGCCTTCACTTCAGCAGCAGACAAGGACGAACAAAACGTGGATGGAGCTTCGGAGGAAGCCGGACCTCTTCCCTACTGTTCGGTCGACGTTCCGATGGATGACGAAAACCCTCGCGACAGCATCAACGCCGAAACCTACTATCACTTCGCCAACAATGGTTACGTTACACTCGCGCAAGTCAACACCGACGAAGCAGAATGCGTAGGACCCAATTTCATACATGATCCAGAAACAGGAGACGAAGCAGTCTGTCCCGACGACACAAATCTCCCTCGCTACACACAGAGTGGACTTCAGATACTTGGACTCGTCACCACAGTCCACGGCATGACGCCACCTAAGGAGCCTGCCACAGTTCAGCAGGCTCTGGGGGGGGAGCACAGAGAAAAATGGCGTGAAGCCATGGACAGGGAATCAAAAGCGCGCGAAGAACGCAACACCTGGAAGGTCGTACCCATCGGAGTGGCACGCAATAAAACCATTCTCATCGGAAAATGGGTTTTCCGCGTGAAAACGTTGGCAGACGGAATCATCGACAAATTCAAGGCGCGCTGGGTCGTTCGTGGCTTTGATCAAGAGCACGGACGAGACTTTACCGAAACATTCGCTCCGGTCAGTCGACACACCTCACTGCGGATTCTCCTCGCGACAGCGGCCATGAAGCGGAAGAAACTCCGTCAAATCGACGTCGCCAACGCCTTTCTCTACGTGCCCGTCGACGCTGAGATCTTTGCCGAGCAACCGCACGGCTCCAACACAGACCCCAACCAAGTCTGTCAGTTGCTGAAGTCCTTGTACGGCATCAAGCACGCTCCGAGGCTATGGCAGTAGTACCTACACACGTGGCTAATCCGCATCGGATTCCGCCAACTACCGCACGATCAAGGAATGTATCGACTCACGAAAGGCGCCGACTACATCCTGCTCATCGTCTGCGTTGACGATTTACTCTACATCGGCTCGACCGACGGCGTCACAACCTGGTTCGAAGGGGAGCTGCAGCGGGATTTAACGCTCACCGTCTCATCAACCGTGACGCAGTACCTAGGACTCAACATACAGGACGGCGAGAACACGATCCACCTCAGCGCCGCGAAATACGCCGACACCATCGCCAAGCGCTTCGGACTAACGCCAACTACTATCACCACGCCATACCGCTAGACCGCCGAGAATCACAAGGAAGCCTCCGCGTCACTCAAGCCCGGCGGCATACGGACTACCAGCGAAAGCTAGGATGCCTGCTATTCGCAGTCGTCACCTGCCGACCAGACCTATCGTATTCAGCAAGCCAGCTCGCCATCTACCTCAAGAAACCTGAAGAAGAGCACATGGCGGAACTCGACCGCGCACTCCACTACCTCGTCAGCACTTCAACAATCGGCCTGACCTACCACAAAAACGGAACCACGACACCCAAGCTAATCGGGTACATGGATGCTGACCACGCTGGCGACTCCGACAACAGGCGCTCACGCACCGGCTACGTCTACCAACTCGAACCTATCGGGCCTATCTCGTGGCAATCGAGCAAACAGGAATTAATCGCCCTCTCCTCAGCCGAAGAAGAATATATTGCACTTTGCTCAGCCACCAAGGAAGGACTGTACCTTCGCGAACTGCTGGAAGCGAAACTGGCCCAGTTACCTAGCTTCTCTTTGTTCTGCGACAACCAATCTGCAATTCGCATAGCGAACAAGAACGGGTTCGCGAATCGGACGAAGCACATCGCCCTGCGATACTTCTTCGTGAAGGACGAGATCGAGAAAGGGAGACTCGAGCTATCCTACTGCCCCACGTCCGAGATGGCAGCCGACTATTTGACCAAGAAGCTCGGAAAACAGAAATTCGAGGACTGCATGCTGCTGACTGGACAGGGCCACGTCACCAGCAACGACACTCCAGAAGCGTAGGGGAGTGTTGGAAACAATTAATTAAACGCTTCTTGTGTGTCGTGACAGCGAACCACAAACGAGGCGAACCACAGAGGAACAACGACGAGTCAACCATCGGAGGTTGACAAGAAAAGCAACTGCTGCAGGTTACACGAAGGTCAAAGGTCAGCGACCTTTTTGACTTGACAAGTACAACGCGACAGCAAGGACAAACAACTGACTCGCTATTAAGCAGTTGTCCGAGTCGTCACTATATCTAACCGCAACAGCAACAGTAAAACGGTTACCGTATTAGCTGTATCTTTTCATATTCCTTGTACGGTACTCTTATAAAACCTTGTATCTTCTTGCTTTAAATCAATCTATCTTGCCCTCACATACTAGCACAAGGTGGTTCAACACTTGTCATTAAACGCTTCCGCAAATACAGTACTTCTACTCAGAGTTTAGCCTTGAAAAGATCCTAAGGGCTTTTCTCAGCCCAACAAGGTGCAACGGAATGTCAAGGTTAGCATCGAGAGGGATACAAAAGTGAGCTACCTAACAAAGTTGCACTCTCTAAGGAGTACCTCACTGCAGCCTACCATAATAATAACATTTGACATTGAGTCCCAAAAACAGTCAGGTGGTACATTTGCAGGTTGCCTGCTTGGTACCCAAGCGGCCAGATTTACAGCCTGGTCGACCCAACTGGGTTGGGTCTACTTTTTGAGGCAACTGGGGCCTGCCACCAAATTAAGGGGTACATAACACGCTCTTATAGCCGGGAATAGATGATACGCAGGTGTACAATTGAACGCCACCCTCTGGTTAGTAAGCCAGTACTTGTAAGACAACGATGGGTGTTTAACACTGGTGAGTATGCTCTAGGTATCCTTTTGACAACCGCGCTGATGCGACCGGCTTTCTTAAAAACGTTCAATGCCCAGATGTTACTCGCAACAGCAGTCCTAGGTTTCAGGGCGGCTGGCTTGCTAAGCAGGCCCCGATTTCAGCCTACGGTATCCTAGACTGTCAGAAGTTCATGAGGATCTTGTCCTTGGCGACTCCTTGCTCTGTCAGCAGTGCAGTCACGTCCTGCACACCAAGGGCAAGGAGTATCATATTACAGTAACACCATTAACATCAGAAGACAGTGGCATAGTGACAAGGGCTTGGCGGAGGTCAGAGTAGGAAAGGTGTGTGGAGACAAGACACTAGAGGTACACAGCGATCGCCAAGCCGGTATATAGTGCGGCGAATCAATACAGATGATGAAGGGGGGAAGAAGGTTAAGTAAGAACTGGCAGAGGTACATGTGTAATATTTTTAGGCCTGAATGCTGGTCTGACATGGCAAGCACTGTACCCAAGGGGTGCACACTAAACCTGAAGTGGTCCCCCTTCTCACCTGGGTCATCCCCTTGTGGCCGCACAGCACCGCCCCTGCCTTGCTACCATCCGCTACAGGGGTTGCCGCACCGTACGCCGACTGTAGGCGGGGATGGTTGTGAGGAGCAAGGGGAAAAGGTCGAAAAGGACGACAGTTGCGGGATAGTTGAATGAGAAGTGTGTGGTACAGTGCGGTGGAAGCAAAGGTAAGTATGGTTCCAGATACGTAATGGTAGCTTGTGATGGCAGCATACGAGAGAGCGCTGATCCAGGACCTTGCACACAGTGTCAGTCCACCCACATACTACAGCCTGGGACAGGTGCCACCACCATTGATTTTTTAACAGCAGCCTGCCATCAGCAAGCAGCCCTGTGTGAGTTGCAACCCCAACCCTGCTCCCCATCCCCCTCTTCCTCACACACCACCCCACCGCACCGCACCCCACCGCGCCATGCACCTGCACGAAGCCAGAGGCGCCAGTCCAGCCATCGTCGGGGTTAGAGAACACGGGAATCACCTGCACACCCGACGCCTCCCACGCTGCAAACCGCTCCTGCTCGCACACGGCACACAGCGACGGACACACGGGCGTGGCAGACAAGGAAGAAAGGGTGGTGGGGGAGCATTGGGAGAGAGGAAGTGAGGGGAGGTTGGGGGGGGGAAGAGGAGAGAGTTGAGAACACTTATGAGAGTCAGCCAGGTTGTTGTGGGGAGGGTGTTGCAAGGTGGCGGTGGGAGAGGAACGCGAGAGGGAGTGGGAGGGGGCAGGACCAAAGCAACGAACCACCTTTCTCAGATCCCTTTCCCCAATCCCTCCCCCAAGCTCCCCAGTCTCACCATTCTCCCCAAATCTCCCACTCTCTCCCACTCCCTCCCACCCCATCCCACTCTCTCCCACTCCCTCCCACCCCATCCCACTCTCTCCCACTCCCTCCCACCCCATCCCACTCTCTCCCACTCCCTCCCACCCCATCCCACTCTCTCCCACTCCCTACCACCCCATCCCACTCTCTCCCAGCCTCTCCCTCCCGCCTCCCCCGTCCCCGGCAGCACCTGGTACGGCAGGAAGGCGTTGTTGCGCACGCCGAAGTACAGGCGCACGTCGCGGCGGTCCTTGGCGTCGAACCCGTGCTCGATCAGCGCGCGGATGGGACTGCCACGCGCGCAGGGGGGACGGGGAGAGGGGGGAAGGGGGAAGGGAGGGAAGAGGGTATATGTTGGAAAAAGTGGGAATATGTCTAAATTTAAAAATACTTTAGGATAAGCGGGAATACGTCTAAAAATTGCGAATACTTTAGCATAAGTGGGAATACGTTGGAACAAGTAAGCGAAAGGGAAAAAACGTTGGGTGAAAGTGCTCTCAGGTCGTCAACCCCTTGTTACTTTCTCCTGCCTTCTAGCCCCGGTGCCTCCATGCTTTGTGCCAGCCTCCCCTCCCTTCCCCGATCCCCCTCCCACACCAAGCCCCACCAGATGCCCCATGGCGCACTTGATTCCCCATGGCGCACTTGATGCCCCACGGCGCACATGATGGCCCACGGCGCACATGATGCCCCATGGCGCACTTGATGCCCCATGGCGCACTTGATGCCCCACGGCGCACATGATGGCCCACGGCGCACATGATGCCCCACGGCGCACATGATGGCCCACGGCGCACATGATGCCCCACGGCGCACATGATGGCCCACGGCGCACATGATGCCCCACGGCGCACATGATGCCCCACGGCGCACATGATGCCCCACGGCGCACATGATGGCCCACGGCGCACATGATGCCCCACGGCGCACATGATGCCCCACGGCGCACATGATGCCCCACGGCGCACATGATGGCCCACGGCGCACATGATGCCCCACGGCGCACATGATGGCCCACGGCGCACATGATGCCCCACGGCGCACATGATGCCCCACGGCGCACATGATGGCCCACGGCGCACATGATGCCCCACGGCGCACATGATGCCCCACGGCGCACATGATGCCCCACGGCGCACATGATGGCCCACGGCGCACATGATGGCCCACGGCGCACATGATGCCCCACGGCGCACATGATGCGCCCCCACCCCACGCCATCCCGCACCTGATGCCGGATCCCGTGGCGAAGAGCAGCAACGACGGGAACTCCCCCGCGGGCGACACGGCGTCCGCGTTGAACCCCTTCCCCATCACCGCGCTCACCGCCACGCGCGCGCCCGCCTTCGCCTCCGCGATCAGCGCAGCCGTGGAGCCCTCGACGGCCTTGATGAGGAACTCGAGCCGCCCCTCGTCGCGCGCGACGCTGGGCGGCGACGCGATCGCGAGGAACGCGGGCTTGGCGTCGCCCACCTTCACCTGCACGAACTGCCCCGGCTTCGTGTAACCGTCCTGGCGACGCGGGGTGGGCGGCGCGGGGAAAGGGGAATGAGGGAGAGAGAGGGGAAATAGGAGGAGAAGGGGGGCGAGGGGGAAGGGGAGGGTGGAGAGGGTGGGGGGGAGGGAGGAGGGGAGGGGAGGGGCGAGGGGAGGAGGGGTGTGGAAAGGGGGAAAAAGGGGGGGAGAGACGGATGCGCGGTGAGTTTTGAGCGAGTCGGTGAACGGATCGAACAGCGCACGGCGACCAGTGCGGTGTGATTGGATACCTCACACTCGGAAGCAGGAGCAAGGATGTAGGCTAGGCGAGAAGAACAAGAAAAACGAGGGGTCGAGGGGTCTCGAGAGTTCTTAAGTGGTCGACTACCTCAATTCTGGCTCCCAAGAGAGCAAGTTGCATTACAAGAGGGAAGCCAGAGCACCAAAAGGACTTTCCTGACCACCAAGACGTCCACATCGCCGGCTTGAGCCCCCGATACGAGCCTTCTAATGACCTTACCCCCAGGAGGAAGCTCACACACACTCGCTCACTCGCTCCCAGTCAACTCCCACTCACTCGCTCGCAGTCGCACTGACCCTGATCTCCGGAAGGTCGCTGACATTGAGAGAGACCGCATACAGCAGCTCCGCCACCTTCTCCGATTGGATCACAGGCGCGTCCGCGAAAACCACCTCCTGGAAACGAAGGGCGGGGGCGACGGGACAGGGACAAAAAGGGCAAGTGCTTCTATTTGTTTAATTTCATTCTGTCCTTTGAACCAGGCTTCTGCAACAACTTCCTGGAAGCTGCAAGACGCAGCAAGATTACGAGCCCGGAACAGGAAAGAGCTCTTTAGGTTTGTCTGTAACCAGAGCAACAGAGAGGGAGCGGGGACTCTCCTCCTGCACCAATCTCTCATTGCTCGTCGTCTCAAGGCGCGATTCGTTCTGCAGTCATGTTGTTGACGCCACACAAATTCAATCAAGGCGTCATGTTGTCCTAGATAATCAGGACGCGCGCACCTGGTTCCAGTTTGCTTGCACGATCGCAGATCTCCCGCTATTTGCGCCGTGCAGAGCGGGCGCGAACCGCCCCCTCTGCTGCTGCTGCTGCGACGGCGATCGCACGGCAGAGCGTCTCCGCAGCCCGCTGAAAGACGCGGAAAGCGCCGAGCGCTGGCTCCGCGCCTGCGCGCCCGCGGTAAGGGCATGCGACGGCGCGGAGATGGGCGCGTGGAGAGACAGGCTCCGGAGCGCCGCCATTGCAGCAGTGCGGTAGCGTGCAATTTGGGAAATACAGGGGCTGCGCGAGGTGGATGTGAATGGCGAAAGCAGCAAGTGCAGGAGGATCGACCTTGGCGACAGACGGCGAGAGTCGGGTGGAGTACCGTTTAGTTCACAGTAAGACAAGCCACTAGCTTGCTTTTCTAGCTCTAAATGACAGCATAAATGTAGGGATGGAAAAGCTGTATGCTGGCAGGCTACTTTTCAGAGAGAATTTCCGCCAGTATATCGAAGCCACCGAAGGGAAGGGAAACGCTACCAACCGATGAAGAACTCTGAATACCGATGAATTTGCTGGTACCGCGTAAATGACGTGGAGAGGGAGTCAGTCGTTTGGACTCGGCCGACGCGGACGACGTGGCAAGAGCACGTCATGTCCAATGTTACGACTGATGCACGAGTTTCAGTGACATGAAGATTGCACACACCGCTGAGTGAATGTGCTTCAAGCTTTATTAGGGCGTGGATGACCCTGCAGAATCGCGGAGCGAGGTGGTTCGTCCGTATCCTAGTATTACTGAAACCCGTTCGGATAGTTGCTCGCAAGTACCCATACGACGTCGCCATCGTGTGGAACGCACATGGAGCATCCTGAGTCAAGGTTGAAACCAACTTTTTGGCGTTCACGAGGCTAGGTCTGGACGGTAAGTCTTCCAGTATTTTTCTCTGTTTTCCGGACACTGTCCGGACTTAACCTCTTTAAAACGATGTAGCACGCCCTAATGGATGGACCAAAGGATATGAATGTACTTCGTCGAGTGCGGATCTTCGCTTACAGAAGTCTGATTGTGTGCCTCCAGTTCACCAATTTCTGGCTGATGTGGCATCGTTTAGAAACATCTGGCAGTGTCCGAATCAATTCCCAAGTGCGTGAACCATCACTAGCACAGTACGGTTGTGGAGTACAGTCCAGTCACACAAACAGTTTCGGGCTATTAAAGCGCGTCATATACACATCCTTGTCAAGAACTTCAGAAAACTGGAGCGTGGAACCATACTACCATCAACAAAACAGTTATATTTTTACAATACCAGTACTCACACTACACCATGCAACAAATAAGCACAAGTCAGCTAATGGTTTCTCAATCAGCAAACCTAATGACCACACATTCGTATGCACACTGCATAGTGCACAGAGAGAACCCAAATGCGGAAAATGCACCATGCAAGCAACTAGAATGCACACTAAACTCATCACACCACCCACACACATACATCATCAGCAACAAGCCATGCGTTAGCCACAGGATGGGAGTGGCAAAGGACAGCAGGGATCAGTCAGAAGAGCCAAGCTGCCACTCCAGCTTGCACCTGTACGGGCAGCACGCACGCACCGATGAGGCACCCACAGGAAAGGAGGGCGAGACAGCGAGGGTCAGGAACAGGCCGTGCGTGCCGCTGAGCCTATTCTGCTCCTCTTTTCCACCCTCATGCCGCAACTGCTTCAACTGCCCCGGTGCAGAGCTGCTCTGTCCTTGTTCTGCGGCAAATACCACACCATGAGTGCTGTTTCCACTGCTATTCCCACTGCCACTGCCACCGCAACTGCGATCAACGCTATCACTACCACTACTGCTACTGCCACTACCAGCACCATAACTACCTATGCTGCTGCTGCTAGTGCTGCTGCTGTTGCTGCTACCCCCACTACTCCCGGTCTCCCGGACGCTGCGGCTTCGCCCGCAGAGCAGCCTGTGCGTCGGGTGCAGCAGTCATAGGATGTCGATGCGCTTCTTGATCTTGAACATCACAGCCGCGCCCTTGAGCCCCTCGTTTGTCGGCACCTGCACCATGAGCTGCGTCTTGGTCTTCATTGGCGTCCCGGAACACCCGTCCGACTCGTTGCCCAGCTGGGGGTGTGGGGGGTGGGATGTGGGAGGGAGGGAGGAAGGAAGAAGATGGGGAGGGGAGAGGGGGCGAAAGGAGGGGGGGAAGGGGGATGGGACGGAACAGTGGGAACATGTTGATAAGGAAGACAGATGCTTGAGGAGAAGCAAAATTGGGTTCCAGTTATCGAGCAGAGCAGAAGCGGAGGAAGCTGTATTGGGTACGAGAGGGCCCAGATCAACAAGACAGACAGCAGCAGACAGCAGAGCAGGAGGAAGCGTGGGAGGGGAGCACGTGGTGCGGTCCCCCCTGCAAAGAGAAATTGGCGTACCCAGAGTGAGCCCCAGGCGAGGCCTGCAGCCTTGTCATAGCCCAGCTTGCCCTTCACGTGGTCCCGCGGCTTGTACTTGTAAACTGCACTGTAGTTCAGCTCCTGCACCTCGTACGACATGCTGCCAGGGGGAGAGGGGAGACGAAACGGGCAGGGTGGGGTAGGGGCTCGATGTTAGGGGGCTGTAAGGAGCATAATGCCATCAGGGCTTGTACTTGTACAGAGCGCTGTAGTTCAGCTCCTGCACCTCGTAGGATATGCTGCCAGGGGGAGACGGGCGCAGGGGGGGCGGGGTAGCGGGTAGAGCGGGGTAAGGGGGAGAGCAGGGAAGGGGGGGAACCGAGGAAAGGGGGAGAGAAGGGGGAAACGTGTGGAGAGGAAGCGGCAGGGAGGGAACGAGTGTTGGAGGGGTGGAACCTGTGTGGTGATAGGTCTGAGGACAAAGGAGATTATTGGTGCAATTAAGGGGGGTTCCAGGAGCATATGTGGTGAGAGAGCTTGTGATTGTACTTGTACTGTGCTATTTTTCACTACTTACCCCTGGGATGCCATGCCGGGGAGACACGAGGGTAGCGAGCGAGCAAAGAAGGTGCAGGAGGAGGTATGTAAGAGGAATGTCAGAAAAGCATGTGCCCGTGTGTGTGGGGAGGGTGAGAGGAGAATCCATCAGCAACTGCGCCAGGAAGGAGATGTGAGTCAGTACGGGAGAGAGCAGGGGGGCAGGCAGGCAGGCGGGCAGGCGGGCAGAGAGCAGGGGGGGAGCGCACCTGATTTTGTGGTGGTCGTTGAAGCGACGTTTGAAGGTGAGGTGCATGTGGTTGGACGGCCATGAGAGCGACGGCGCCACTGTTATGATGTCGTTCTGCTCGTGCCCCATGCCGGATGGGGGCACCCACAGAGTAGAGCATGTGTGAGGTTGGGGGGGAAGGGGGGTAAGGAGAGGCGGGGCAAGGGGAGGGGGAGGGGGAGGTGAGGACGGGGGGTGGGGGGAGAGGGAGGGGGAGGACAAGGTCTAGGTGTGATGCATGGTGGCACCGTAACTATGTCACGTTGAGAAGCAGCAGCCATGTGAAGGCGTGGCAGGCACTCATGCGCGCACTGTCACACGGACAAATACCTGCTGAAGAGTCGAGCACAGCAAGGACACCCTGGGAAACGAGTGCTGAGCTGAGCCATGCAAGCCCAACCACACAGCCCCATATCCAATCCAACACACGAAACACGCGCCACCGCACCCAAGATCCAGTGCACGTTCCAACCATCATCGCACCTCTGCATCGACAGACGGGTGAACAGACGAGACGAGTGACGAGAGGATGCGAAAGCGAGCGCGCAAGCAACGCACCTTGAAGTGGTAGCGCAGGTTGATGGCGCTGTCGGCCTGCGAGAAGCTGGCCATGGCGAGCCCCTTGAGCACGTTGGCGGAGATTGACCCCGAGAGCCCCTTGCTGTCCTCGTACTCGCACGACTCGTCCACAAACCGCAGGTCGCCCCGTGGGAACAGCAGCGTCGCCTTCGCCTGGTGGTGACGGGAAGGGCGGAGGGGAGGGAAGGACGGGGAGGAGAGGGAGTGGGGGGAAGTGGTGGGTGAGGAGATGGGGGAGTAGAGGAGGATGTGGGATCAGAGAAGGAAGGGAGGCAAGAAGGATGAGAGACGGGAGAAAGAGTGAACGGGCGGACGAGGATGCAAGAAGAAGGAGAGCGGGCCTGGAGGAAGATGGAAGAAGGCGAGGTGGAGAGACAGAGAGACGGGGGACAACTGGAGGGGCAGAGCGATGGGGAGGGGGAGGGGAGGGGAGGGCGAGGGCGAGGGCGAGAACTGACGAGCGTGGAGGGGATGTAGTTGCCGACAGCAGAGTCGAGGATGAACTCGGCGCTCTTGCTGCTGTCCTCGCTGCGAAACACCGTTGACACCGAGCTGCGCTTCGCCTGCCACGTTGCACGCGCGGGAGGAGTAGGGGTCGGGGAGTGGGATAGGGGAGGGGGGAGAAGGGAGAGGGAGGGAGGGAGGGAGGGAGGGAGGGAGGGAGGGAGGGAGGGAGGGAGGGAGGGAGGGAGGGAGGGAGGGAGGGATTGAGCAGGTTACAATAGCAGTGACGTTGAAGTAGGGTTTTTTTGGGAAGTGCAAGGAAGAGGCGTGGGCTTGAAGTGATCACGAATACACTCCTCAATTACTCACATCGTTGCACTTGAACCGCCCCACTTCCTACCACTCCACCGCCCCAGTCTTCCAGCTTCCCACCCACACTCCTTCCCAGCGACGCAGTAGCTCACCCCCATATCTCGTCACCCGCACACCCTCCCCTCCCCATTTCCCCTTCCCCCTCTCTCTACTCGCCACCCCTAGCTTCCCTCTCTTTCAGTCTCTCCTATCCCCCTCTGTCCTTCCCCATCATCCCACCCCCCTCCCCCCCTCCACTTTTCCGCCTCCCCCCTGTTGCCCGCGCGGCGGACCTGCATGTCGCGGCGGTACGCGACGCTGTGGTTGCCGACGTCGGCGTTGAGCCCGACGAGCGCGTTCTTGCCGTCCACGTCGTAGTCCACCGTCACGTGCTTCGTCGCCACGCTCACCAGCGGGTAGCACCACTCGCCGCGCAGCGTCGTCTGCGCGCCACGGGGCGGGGAGGCGCCGGGGAGAGGGGAGGGGAGGGGGAGGGTGGGGGTGGGGGTGGGGGTGGTGGGGGGAAGGGGGCGGAAGAGAAGGCCGGGGGTGGGGAGAGAGCGGGGGGAAAGGCCGCCGAACAGCCCATGGGGGTGGGGAAGGGAGGGAGAGAAGAAAGAGCGTTTCAGAGCGGTGGCGGCAGGGGGGTCTCGAGGGACACGCGCTGGCAGCACCACTCGTTGCGCAGAGCCGATCAGCGGGGAATGGGAGGACTGCGTGCAACGGGAGAGTATCTCGGGGAAATGAATATCCATTGGACAAGATTGCACAAGTCTTGGAAACAAAATTGCACGAGGCGGGACACGCGAATGCCGCTTTATGCGACCTTCCTACCTTTAAAACCTATGGACGGTCTCATAAGTGCGGCAATGCCCATGCCAGGTCATCCCCAGGAGGCTTTTGCTGCTCGACAAATAACGGAGGGGAATTATGAGTGCGGACGCACCCAGCTGTTGAGAAGCAGGGGGCTGCATTTGCGCGGCAGGGCGGTCAGCACGCAACGTGCCACGCTCTGCGATCCGTTCGAAGCAGCAGGCATACTGACGCGCGCTGCTGCGGCGGCTAAAATTACGTGTGGGAAACCGCGGGCCAGAACACACGCTCGGGGCGCTTCTTAGGAAATAAAAATACGGTCTTTCGTTTACTTGCTCTCGTAATTTCTTGTGCTCTGCTTTGCCTGCCGTGGCGGCCACCGATTTCGGAAAGTAACTTCTGTGAATTCTCAAAAGCCATCAATTGTAGAAGGTAACGCATTTCTCGAGATCGGCAGAGAGCGGGGCAATGGCGATTGCTAGGTGGGGCAGCAGAGGAACCAACCTGGCACGACGCCTTGATCTTGGCGAGGCCGTCAAAGAGGCGCACGGACGCCTTGTTCATGAAGACCTTCTCCTCGCTGTCGAACTCCGACGAGATCTTCATCCTTATTGATCGTTCCACTCCGCTCGACGAATGAAACAATGCCGCGTTGCTGCTGAAACGCCCTGAGGCACGGGCAGCCCGGGGAGCAGTGCAGACGCTCTCGTTGGGAAAGAGTAGAGGGCCTCAATGTCGCGACGGTAGTGCAGGTAAGAGATCGCGGGAGAGATCGCGGGAGATAGTGCAGGTACGGGTACGATTGCTCGAGTGGTAGCCTGCGGCTCAAGGGGGGAAAGGAGGTGCCTCGCGTGACGGCAAAAGCGCGTAACTTAGACTGAGATTATGGCCTGCAGGAGTTCCCTGCCTGCTGGTGGGGGATGGTGCGCTGCTGCTGCTGAAATGGAGTTGATCAAAACTCGAGGCTGGCTGTACAACGGACCTATTTTCGGTTGCCGCGGCAAAGTGGGTTTGGTCAGATGGGGTCGCACGAACGAAATATATCTGTTGGCTCTTGTCGTTTTGAAATTGGCGTGTTTCTGTGCGTGGCGGATCGCACCTGGACGTTCAGCTAGGTTCGTCAACGAACCAGTCGTTTAAACGAGGCCCGTCCATGCTGAAACGCAGGGCGTTCAAGACGTGGCTGGCTTGGATGTAATTCGGATTTCGTGGCCTTCCGATAGAGGAACAAGTCAAGAAGTGTGTTGCGGGACATTTCCAAGAGGAGAGAATGGGAAATGATCAGATTCGGGCCCCAAAGGTCTAGGAAATTAGCCAACTTGGGACCTCGTCTGGCGCAATGCGTCGAACCTGGGCCGGACCTGGCCTGTTGGTGCAACCCTACGGTTGCACTCGGCTTGTTGTTCCGTGTGCGTGAATGTGTGTGTGTATGGAATGGTATGAGGGCATGGGATAATGTATATTTCATGCTTATAATTGTGTGTGAATGTTGAGTCATGATGTCGAGTGTGTGTGCAACGTCAATAGCGAGTTATCGCTAGACGCGTGTTACGCGGTCGTTTGTGTCTCGCGCGCGGTTTCTATTTTGTCGTGCGCGGTTTCTATTTTGTCCTGTGTCGAACGTTCGGCGTGTCGCAGGTGTGTGCAGCAGACCCATCAAGAACTCAAGGATGAGTTTGTGATGAAGAGCCCGAGCCTTGGTGTCAAGCCTCAAGTGATTTCGAAGCTCGCCAAAAGGGTACACCTCAAGATATTGAAGATAGTTACATTCCTGTGTGTCTTCCTATCTTGTGTTCTAAGACTATAGTGGCTGCCATAGTACCGTTCGTTCAAACCGACGCTGTGTCGTCAATTCTTTATCAAATCGTGCAATCTAAATTGCTAATTGTAGACGACGTGAAGACGCTCCAGATCCAATTTGAATCAGGTCATTTGCAGCTGTGAGCAGAACGCTATCAACGTTTGAAGCCGCTGTGCAGAAATCCGTCTGTGCTCTCTATCTTTCGTTTTAGGCACATTCAAGCCTATTGTGACTATAACAAGTGGTATCAGAGCCCCTTGGAGCAGTTTCGACAATGTCTGGACCTGAAGAAAGGGGTGGCAGAGGTGCTGGTGGCAGTGGAGAAGCTCAAGCTCAAGGCCAACCCCGTGATTCAGCCATGGCGCCCATGCAACCAAGTCTTGGCCCGCCTAGGGATGAGCCTAGGGTGTTTGGGCTTGACAAGTTCAACGGTGACAACTTTGCTGAATGGTCCTTCAAGATGGAGAACATCTTTGACCACTATGACCTGCTGGAGGTGATGGAAGGAACGGAGAAGCGCCCCGAGAACGACCCGGAGAAGAGCCCGTGGGTGCGGAAGAGCGCACAAGGCTATCTCTTACTTGGGCAAGCGTTGGGGAGCAGTCAGATCCGTCACATCAAGCCATTCCAGCGTGAACCAGAGAAAGGACCAAAGGCATGGGCTGCTCTCAAGGGTGTACATGCTCCTGCAACAGCGGCGGTAGCGGTGGTGTTGGAACGGCAAATGGCGGCACTACGAATTGAAGAAGACGAAGCGGTTGAAGAAGGGGTGCAGAAATTCTTCGACTTGTTGACGCGGCTTGAGGGAGCTGATTTGAACTACAGTGAGCTCCAAAAGAAGACCAAGTTGCTGGCCTTACTCCCAGAGTCATGGTCCTCGCTCATCATCAACCTTAATCGCGACTTGCCCCGCCTCTCGCTTGAAGACGCGAAGCGAGCTATCCTTCAAGAGGATTTCCGCCGCCGTGAGTTGGCGAGTGCGGATGGCGCTGGGGCAGCGAGCATCGGCCGTGGATATGGTCGAGGAAGAGGCAGAGGACGAGGGGGAGGAAGGTTTGGTGGCAGCAACTTCGGCGGAGGCCGCAGGAGTGGCGGTTACGGCAGCGACGACAAGAGCTACGGACGCGGTCGCGGCCGATTCGACGGCGAGTGTCACTATTGCCACAAGAGCGGACACATGTGGCGCGACTGCTACAAACTCCCTGATGGTTGGACCCCTGCTCAAGGCCAAGAGGGTAGAGGAGCAGGAGGAGGGAGAGGACGAGGCCGTGGAGGCCGTGGCGGTCGCGGTGGCGGAGCTGCAAACATGAAGAGCGGAGACAACGACAAGGACTCGAGCGACGATCGATACCCGGGTCTATTCTACTTCGTGTCGACGCAAGTACCGGCTGGTCCAGAGAAGGATGAAGGCCTTGAGGAGCCAGCAGCTGTGGGGAAGGTGACCCTACACCCCCTGGACTATTGGGTGATTGATAGTGGCGCTACCTATAGCATGACACCTCGCCCGGACTTGCTCACCGAACTCGAGCCGTCACCGGTGAAGCATGTCACATCGGCTTTGGGGCAGCGAGCAGAGGTGAAAGGCATGGGCAAGGCCATGTTCAAGGGTGCTGATGGGAAGATGGTGGGCCTCAAGAACGTGCTTTGGGTGCCCAGCCTTGCTGCAAACCTGATTTCCGTGCGGCGGTTGGCAAAGGCCGGCATGGACACGAACTCGAAGGGAGCCAAGACCTACACCGCAAGGCTTGGCGATCGAATTCTTTGGGACCTTCATGAGGACAGGGATGTCTACAACGAGATGTGGCAGATCCCAGTGGTCCCTATGCCTAAGGAGAGGCAAGTGGCAGCAAGCATCAGCACCAAGGATGGAGCGGTCGGTAGCGACGATGGCGCGAACGGTCGCGCTAAGGAGAATGAGCTCAAGAAGAGCAAACCTGGAGGGACCAGCAAGTTCAGTGAACCTAAGGAGAGTGGTGCAGCAACCAAGGAGCAGCAAAAGGGTGAGGAGAACCCAGAGGCAGCAGCGGAGGAGGACTACGGAGAGAGTATGTGGGGCGCTATTGCGAGCGCGGCATTCTCCAATCCAACTTCGGCTACGGGGGAGTGTGATTGGCTCACCTTGCATCGGCGCATGGGGCATGTGGCCCTGCCCATCTTGCAGCAGCTAGTGAAGAATGAGATGGTTGCTGGCATACGTGTGAAGGGGGAGCCCGATGAGGTGCTTGGCTGCCCGACGTGCATTCAAGCCAAGTTCACCCGGTTTCCGTTCCCTAGTTCGGAGGCAACGGCAAAGGCACCGCTTGATGAGGTGGTGATGGACGTGGTGGGCCCCCTGAAGCTTGGAGCTGCTGGAGCTGAGTATTTTCTCACCATTGTCGACGTCTACACCCGCATGACTTGGGTGTACGTGCTGGCCAAGAAGAGCGACGTGGCTGAAACGTTGAAGACGGATTGGTTCCCGATGGTGGAGCGGCAACAAGACCGTCTAGTCAAGTCAATCCGCACCGATCGAGGGGGAGAGTTCCTGAGCAAGGAGTTTGGGTTGTGGCTGAAGAAGAATGGTATTCGGCACTCCCTCACCATGCCATACTCCCCTGCAATGAACGGCATCGCCGAGCGAGCGAACCGCACAATCACGGAGGCGGCACGCGGGTTGCTCATTGAAGCCGGGCTACCCGACTATTTCTGGCCTGATGCGGTGCGGAGCGCGTGTGTGGCCAAGAACAGAGCCTTGACTCATGTGGGAGCAGTCAAATGGGTGCCCTATGTGGAGTGGCTAGGAAGGAAGCCAAAGGTGGATATGCTTCGGGTGTTCGGGTGCATGTGCATGGCGCTCGTGCCTAAGCATCTTCGGCACAACAAGCTTGGTGCCAAGGCGGTGTGGGCCGTGCACTTGGGCATGGCTCAAAACAGCAAGGGATGGCTTCTTTGGGACCCATTCACCAAGAAGTTCTTGGTGAGCAGGGACTGCAAGTTCATGGAGAACTTCATGTACAAGGATTGGAAGGCGGAGAATGAGGCGAAGATAGGCGTGCGGTTTGGGGAGGTGAAGAGTTCCGGTTTGGAGCATGTGGAGCTGCCTTTGGAGCTGAGCAGCGGCAGCACAACCACAAGGCAATCCTCCCTTGTGAATGGGGGAGAGGAGGCCAATGATGCAGAGGAAGAAGAGGAGGAGGTGCAGCAAGTGAGCGAGCGTGCACCGTCACTCCCTTCCCGTACTACGAGTGCTCCACGGATTCGAGCCACACCGCAGCAACGCCAAGGCCTTCAAGTCCATGCAGCTGAGGAGGAAGGAAGGGGGAAGAGGAGAGTTCAACCCCCTAATAGGCTGACCTATGATGCGCCGGGAAAGCAGGGCAAGACAGCCCTGGCCGGAGCGGCAATGATGGTCGGAGACGACGAGGAGAGTGACTACGAGGAGTGTGCCTTCGCGTTCTTCTCTCCGGTGGAGATGCCGGGAGAACCAGCAACTCTCAAGGAGGCTTTGGAGAGTAGTGATGCTGAGGAGTGGAAGAAGGCCATGGAGAGTGAGCTGAAGAGCATTGAGGAGAATGACACGTTTGAATTGGTGGAGCTACCGGAGGGGCGTACGGCGATAACGTCCAAGTGGCTCTTCAAAATCAAGTCGGATGCCGACGGCAAGATCGAGCGCTACAAGTCTAGGCTTGTAGCCAAGGGGTACCAGCAGAAGGAGAAGGTGGACTTCAAGGAGCTGTTTGCCCCTGTGGTGAAGCCGACGACGCTGCGAACCCTATTCGCGGGAGCCGCCATCAAAGGATGGGTAGTAAAGCAAATGGACATCGTA